TTGTAAAAGTTTACGACTTACTCGTTAATAGTGTGCAAGACCTGACAACCACAGAACTGCCTGTGAAATGTGTTGGAGGGGTTGGATTACTTCTGAACCTGGGGGAAGCGTTGTCCAGGGCTTGGTCCTGTTCAGGTTGGGGTTAGTGGAGGAGTCACAGTGAAAGCAATTCAGGAACCAAAATGAAGCAGAGAAATCTGTGAGCTAAAGCTAAGTTTTGAAGCGTTCTTAGACGAGACTTGGTCTTTGTATACACCAGACTGCTGTCTGGAAACTGACAACATTATCAGATTTTAAAGCTCCAGTTTTCTACTTCTATAAAAAAAAAATCTGTTTTTGTGTCATGAGGCAGATAATCTGTGAAAAAGTCAAACTCCTCCACCTTCTCCTTGTGCTGCTTAGCGATCTGCAAAAATGCATCATTCTTGACCAAAAACAACCAATCAGAGCCAAGCGGAGGGTCTTAACGCTGTCAATCATGCTCATGTACACAGATTATCTGTCTCAAAGATATTTGCTATGGAAGTTACAGGTGGGAAAAAGTTCCATGTTTAGAGGCTCTCCATCACTGTTTAGACGAGATCGCCATAGCAACCCTGAATCTGCTGCAACTTTCATGCCAGGGCTCCAGGGGGCGCCATGGTTTTAACAGTTCTTCTTCACCTCACGAGTCAGTGTCTGCATTAAATGAACCAAGCGCTCATGTAAAAATTACAAGATTAATCAGCACACACAGTATGTTATTTTAGCTGCTCTCTGCCTGTGTGCTCGTAGATCAAACCCTGAAGCGTTCTGCCTGTTGTTGCTTTCACACACAGTACCTCACTCCTCTGCAGGGGGTGTTCCTGAAAACTTCCTCTCTGAGACTTTGTTTCAAAAAGACAATGTGTCACAGAAAGGTAAACCTTTTAGAACCAAAACTCAGATGACAGAGCAGAACTTCATTCAGTACAAGACTTTATTCTGTTATTTTACAGAATAAAATAACAGAATTACCTCCAAGTATTCAGTCGGTACATTTTATATGCCACACGTGTCCAAACAGTAATTTAGAGAACAGCCTTGCCTTGCTCTCATATTTAAAAGTCATCTTTAATAAGACAAACAAAAATGATATTTTCAGCTCATTTATTAAAATCAGGTAAAGCAGAGATTACCCCAACACTTTAATCGTTCAAACTTTCAGTTTTCACGTCTCTGTGATGCTCAGCAGAGTTCGCTGGAACTATGGATTGTGGGATAAATGTGAGCATTACTTTAAACATCCTCACCATGTTGTGAAAGCCATATAACAAAAAGCTGCGATGTGTTTATAATCTAAAACATGTTGATTTCACTCGGATTTTTTATGAGGGTAATTAAAAAACCATGAGGTAAAAAACTGAAGAGAGACGTTGATTCTCACACACTTTTGTTTTTTAGTTTTCCCTGGTTACTTATCAACTCCCTCTGACTTCTGCAATTTTATGTTGCAATATTGCACTTTGGGAAAAGCTGTTTCTGGAGTTACTGCATCAACATGACATCTTGCTATAACCATAACATAAGAATGATATCAAGAAAACCGTATTTGTTTCAACAGATTCCTTCTTACTCTGTTTTTCAAGCGAAAAGAAAAGTAGAGCTACATCACAAAATGACATGAAAACTTTATTTTACTTTTATCAAACCTAAAAACACTTTGTTCCAATATACATATTAATCACATCAGAACAAAACCTTTTCTTGTTTTTGCAATATAAAATAAGAACAATCTAATTTACGGTCCAAACATCAGAAGTATTTTGTTAGAGCTGCACCTTAGAATGCTAACGGTTAGCATTTTTATATAACATGCAAACATGAATATGTTAGTAACATGAGATTATATTGTTTAACTGTGAAAATATTTTACAATAAAATCATATTACCTTATGCAAACAGGATATTGCTAGAACAATGTAGCCTGACACTTATAACATTTATTTTTATTTTTTTTTATTTTGTTTCTACCACCATCATCTTCACAGATCCTGGGCAGAAAATGAATAAAACAGCAACAGGATATTTTAACTCTTGGTCTTATAACTGGATTAAAGTCAGTTAAACATATATAATGTATGTCAGTACAAATCTCTGCACTAATACAACTTCCACTAAAAATTAGGGGCAGTACATGTGCGGTCAAGGGGCAACGTCAGAGTCCTATTACGACGGTTATGCAACAGGATAAAGTACAGCAAGGAGCCATTACTGCAGAGCGTATCAGATTGAGGAGAACATTCTCCATTTGCATATAGATGCGTATCAGAAAAGCCTGACAGGCATGCAGGAGCCGCTGGCGTGTGTATGGTTTGATTCAGCCTGACATACAAAGCTTCTGTGTCATGGAGTTAAAGTAAAGCTGCCATGTCAGTGAGAGTTTTATGCTCGGTCCATGTTCTGCTGCAAGCAGAGCTCAGGAACAACAGAACTCACTTTATCGATGTTATTGAGACAGATGAAGCTTTTTAGATCAACTTTGGCATGTGCCACACATTAAATATCACATTATTCTGAATATTTTCTGAAAATGTCAGGAAATATTCCTAGCACATCTTTTCTGCTAGCTTTATGATTTTAGTGAATGTTGTGATTTTCAACTAAAGTTTAGTTTTTCATTAGCATCAGTTAGCCTGCAATAACCTTCAAATTATCCCTGCAAAAACATGAAATCTTACCAAGTACATCTGTCTCATTTCAAGCACAAATATCTTAGCACATTCAAAATAAAATAAAACTAACGTACAAGTAACTTTTCAGTGATAAACAGCTTGTTTTAAATCAATAATTCCCAAATATTAACAAAAATACTGGTTCCATTAGCATAAAATATGTTATCTACTACTTTTCCCTCCATATGAATGAATTATTGATTTAAAACAAACTTCTGTGTCTTGTTGAAAAGTTGCTTGTTGGTTTTGTCTTGTTAGAAAACGGCACTGAAAACTAAACCAAAACCACTTGGCACAACTGTTTGTTTTTGCAGTGCAGCATCTATCAACTTATTGGAAGCACAACTTTCCTCAGCTCTTGTCTTAGTGAGCAGGATGTTGTGGACTTGATGGGGACAAAATGACCTTAGGAGTTAAGAAAAGATAAATAAGATATTTACCAGGTTATTTATCATGTGTTCCTCTGCGCCTCACTCCTGAAGACCTCCTCTGCATCCATCTCCAGCCCTCGGCTGCGTTCAGGGATCAACCCTCTGAGTAGTTTTGATGAATCGTGCTGCTCCGGTCCCTGGAGGTCCGGGGCACCACTGTCTTCTCATTCCCATGCTCATATCGCCCGTCTTCCCTCCCTGCCATCCAGCCTTTCCCCCCTCCTGCCCCGTCCTCCTCCTGCCCCGTCCTCCTCCTGCCCCGGTCCCCAGGGCCCTGTGGTGCTGGCGTCCACCCAGAGTCCCTCCATTTCCTCCACATCTGATATAATCAGGACAAAAAGAGCTGAGAACATTCTTTTCCCATGATTCTTAAGTGGCACCAGGGGCGCTCTGAGCCGGCCGCTCGCTTGGCTGACCTGCTGGCCAGAGGCCTTCCCAGCATGCCAAGCTCTTATCTGTGACTTTTGCAGCGGGTCTTTTGACATTGTCATCTGCATGGAATGAAAACTTAAGAGACATGTCTTAGTTTTTTGTATTATTATTCTCCTGAGGTTGTCATCTGAATTATCCACAACAAGATCAACACCTGCGATTCATTTCTGTTCCTTTCTTCCTCTTTTTTCCCCTAAAATGCATTCATACGCTGGCCATTTGGCCATTTGTCACGGTATGCAGCAGATTCTGCATCACAGAACCAATTAGGTTTTGAAGTTTAGCGAAACTACAGTTCTTTGTGCAGGTAATTAAAAACATAGATTATGCTGCGATGAGACTGTGCAAGTCATTTACCTTTGAGTCCAAACAACGTAATGATCTCTAGTTTTCTGTTAATGGTGTTTGCTGAGATTTTGTCCTGCTGGTGGTGCAGTGCACATGCTGTAAGTTATTCTCATCACAAACTGCTATCATTAAGGAGAATTTCAGCCATGTGTGCCCAGCCACATTCATCAGATAAAATGGAACCAGACCATTTAGTCCACTTGAGTCTGCTGCTGCAGACTGACTGCAGATCCACCACCAGCAGGGCGGCTATCATCGCTTCACACGTACGTTTAGATTAAACTCAGTGCTTCATTCTGGGAAGGGTCGAAGAAAACTCTGTGCCAAATATTGACACACTATAAATATGCTTTTGACAAAGATAATTGAATTGAAAAACCTTCACGATTAAAGATGAATGAGATTAAAAATCATATTACTCCATTCAGACACACTGGATTGAATCAGTGATGAGGATTCCTCAGCTCTTAGTGTAACTCATTAAAACATGAGAATCCTTTACATTTTTCATCATTGAGTTGTACTGTATTAATCAGGAGCTAATGCTGCTAATTACGACTGTTTTTAAGTTAATGGAGTTGGAATGAATGAGGAATGAATCTGATGACCTTCATGGTTTCTAAAAGCCTCTCAGCAGAAACATGTTTGCTTTGGAGGAGTTTCAGCTCCATTTCTGTGAATTCAGCCTTCCAAGCACTAATTGATTGGTTGAATGACATGCTTTAATGATGTGTTTCACTTTCACACGGTTGGAGTTTTAATGTTTGCAAGTAACAGAAAAGCAGCAGGATCCCTTGGAGTCACAATTTCAAGCTGGAAACTCAGAGTTTCCAATGAAGCTGGACTTAAAAATGCAGAACCGCTTCCATGTGGTAAAAGTTTAGTGAAGGTATATAACCTCTTTGGCAATTTAAATCCCATTAAATCATTTGTACACAGAGTACTTCACAAACTGCTCGAGCACTTGGGTTTTAGTTTGTGTTACCAGTACTGGTTAGAAAGGTAACAGAACACAACAATCAGCAAAACATAACTGATTCCTAAACTTGGAGCTGAAACGGGGCTCATTGGGGTTTGATGTCCCTTCCAGATCCAAGTTGTAGCTGAGTGGAGCTCCGCCAATGTATCCTGTTTACTTTGATCACCAAAGTGCAACCAAATTTTCTTCTGTGTTTGTGAGATATCTCCGGTGGAACTGGCAGAGCAGACCCAGCTCTACGTCATGATGATCACAGGTATGTCGAGTGAAAAACCCTGTTTTCCTGTAATTTCGTCAGTCTTTAATGGTTCCTGTTAGTGGGTGGGAAACGTTGGGTGGTAAATGAACATTTTGTCCTGATCGTGTTAAAAGTAGGAAGACTTGGCAGAAATAAGGACTGGAGTGATTTACAAACAACTCTGTGAGAAGATCATAAGAACTGCAGTTTTATTAGGTTGTTTGCACTTCACAGCTTTTCTGTATTTATCAGAGGGTGTAAGGTCACAATGACTGGGTCATGGAACGAACACTGAAAAAAGTATTTTTGTTAGTTATGTATAATAGCCTTAATCTGGGCCATTTTGCATCTTCCCATTCTCTGCATGCTAGCTTAAGTAAAGCTAACGTACCATATGCTCACCACATGGTGTGTTTATGTTTCTATTTATCTTTGTTAATCTGCTCTGTAAAGTTTCTGAAAAAACACAAACAATGATTTGGGAAATGGAAAGTCCTTCACTGAAACAAACCGAGCGAAATGATCCAAAACGCCAACATGCTCAGGAAGACACAGGAAGAGACAGTTTTATATTTTATAGATTTGCTCTAAAGATGTATGTGTCTGCTTCTTGGATGAACTGAGACGGACGACAGTGAGACAGTAAGTCCAGAGAGACAGTAGAGTCCACAGAGACGGTAGAGTCCAGAGAGACGGTAGAGTCCAGAGAGACGGTAGAGTCCAGATAGACGGTAGAGTCCACAGAGACAGTAGAGTCCACAGAGACAGTAGGGTCCACAGAGACAGTAGAGTCCAGTGAGACAGTAGAGTCCAGTGAGATGCCGGGACAGCGGCGGCTGAGCCCAGATGAGGGCGGCTCTGTTCTGGCTCGGACCCAAAGCTTCAGCCTCTCTGACAGCAGGGACAGAAGAGCTGCCAGGTTCCCCTGCAGCAGTGACAGGAGACCCAGGTTCTATTCAGCGCGGCGCCGCATGGGGTCCAGCAGGAATGTCTGCTCTCATCAGCAGCTCTTTATTGAATATGGGGGCATTTATGAGGCTGTTTATGTGGACTGATGGCAAGTGAGCGCAGGCTGCATGAAGACGTGAAAAGGCGTGTGTGTGTGGAGAGATGCTGACTTCTTGGGCTTCAAGGTCAGGATGAAGCCCTCCAACTGCACTACACAGATTAGCACATAGCATAGGATAGGGAAATATTAGATACTTTTTTGCAAAGGTATGAGGATTACACAACTGTGTGAAAAGATTTAGCCTCAGGAACTATGTTCGCAGGATATTACTTTGCATTATCTTGCAAACAAAAGGAACGAAGCAAAGAGGAAAAAATAGAAACATTTACAGTAATTCCCTTTATCGGAAATTGGAAAAAAATGTCTGCATCCACAAAGCTCAGATTTGACTTCATAATCCCTGTTCTTCCCACAGTCAGGAGCGTGCTGAGGGAGAGTTTTGATTAAGTGAATTAAAGCGAAGCACAGCTCTGGCAGACGGCACAGGCATGCTGTCCTGGGGGAAAAATGGAGGTTTCTGGCAGCATTTTCAAGAACAACAAAACAACAATTGTTCTTCCCGCTTCGCTCTGCTGTTGGATTCATTGACGACAGATCAAATGTACGTTGGTGGTCTGGAACATTAACAAATCCCCTTAATTATATCCATCAAAACGCAGGAAGTATCAGGGGGAAGTGATCTCTCATTTAGTGAGTTTCTGAGTTACTCTGAACCTGCTGTGACGACGTCTGTGAGGCTGCAACGATTCAAGAGCTGGCGCTTCCTCCAGGAGAGGGAATTCATTTATTTAGGCATTTTAAAACGGAGAAGTTTCAGACATCCGACTAGAAATACGTTTTTATGTTACGAGATCTAACAAAAAACCAGGCCAGCACTCAGTTGAGAGTTTAGTTATGAAGAACACTTTCATAGAGAATTCATACCTGAAAGTTTATCCAGTCCTTTAACTTTGGCAGAATATTTGTACTTGTCCATATTATGTTCAGTTTCCAGCATTTGATGTTTGATGTCATATGTATGTGTTATTATCCGACTCATCAGGATGTGCAGGTTTCTACAGCTTTGCAAAAAATGTTGAGGCGATCTAAGAATGCATTGCAGCAATTTCCTAAACATATTTTTTAACTAATTTATTTAACTAAAACTTCAAGTAAATGATGCATTTTTGGAGGAAATTAGAACAAGTTGTTGAGGCAGCAGCTGTTTTTTTACTGTATAAATGACTGTAGCCAGACAGCAGCTAGAAGTGCAATAAAAAACACTTTGCAACAAAAATCTTGTTGGATATTTTGAACACAGAAGCGAGTCAGTAAACGCATCCAGTCCTCAGCTGGTGAATAATTCAGCTGCAGTGTTAAAGATCCCTGTGACAGACACAAAGATCTCAGGCTGGCATGCAGGTCAGCAGCGCCGCGACTTCCTCAGTCTGTTAGTGGCTGTATGGATTTTTAAGTGAACCTCACAGGAGCTGGAGTGCCATCGAAGTGAAAGCAGATGTTAATATTTCATTGAGGAGGTGGAAGTCGAGCAGCATCTGGACAGGCTGCATCGTTAAATCCTGCTCAGCACAGGACTGGCATTATTTCAGCACATTTAACGGGATACAAAACCTGATTGGTGAGTAAGCGCATAAAACCACCGGGAGATTTATGTGGGTTTAAAAGATGAATAATTTAGGACAGTAAATTATGGTCTTTGTAGAGAGAAAAAAGGGAGTACATTTCTGCCAAAAAACTCAGGAAATTTTAAATTAATCTAGAAAAATAAGGACAATTTTAAGCTCCAAAAGTCAAAATTTTAAAGGGAAAAAAAACTTCACAACTTAGAATAATCTCAGAAATTCTCTAGAAAAACTGGACATGCATGAAACAAATTACAGGTGGTTTTATAGAAAAACAACTTAAAATTCATGCATTTTTGAGTTCATCTGGCAGTTCTGTCTGCCAGACTTTTTCTCAAAATTTTAAATTTTTTCTTCGCAAATCTACAGCTTTTGAATAATTTTTTTTCTAGAAAGTTTCTGAGATTAACCTCTAAATTTCTGAATTTTTGGTGGGAATGTAATCCTTTTTTTTATCTACAATGGCTACATCACTGTAATAATTAACAAAATAATCAATTTACACAAAACAAAATAATGTTCAAAGATTTAAAATAGAAAGTTTAAAAATATTTGCTACTTAATAAGAAACCAGGATGAAAATATCAGGTACCAGGAATAGTTTCCACAAAAGCGACACAAAACAAACATAAAAGTTACACAAGGAACCCACATTTCTCATCATGATACATTTTTTATAAAGTCTTTGATCACAAAAAATGAATAGTCAAGGTCAGCTCAAAAAAATTAAACATCGTGGGAAAAAGATCTGTTTTCTTTGTAACTTATTCCAGAAAGAGAAACTAGAATATTACTTTGAGTCCTTACACACAGAGAGAATTATTCTAACTCTTTACTTCATGCATATTTGATGATTTTCTCTTACATTTAATGAAAAGTTCAGTGTGTTTCAGAATATCTGAATAGATACTTCATATAAAATATAGATTATAGATAAAACTGAACATGTCGGTTGGTTCTGAGGGATGATGTCGACCAGCGACTGTTTTAAGGTGACGCACCATGAAATGTTACGGGTAAAAGGAAGTGCAAACACATTTATTCAAAGTATATTCACGAAACGGAGCTAGTAAGATGAGGAGAGGTTCACTGAGGTTTCTGTCTTCAGCTGTTAAAAACAACCAAACTGGAGGCACAGAAGGAGTCGAGGTTAAATCTGCACTCATTTCATGAGCTGGTAAGCTACGAGTCTATAAATACTGAGGTATCAGTATGATGAAATGTTTTCCACATGCATGAAACATACGACAGGAGGTTTTATAGAAAAACAACGTAAAAATCATGGAGATCAGTCCAGATGATGCTTATCGCGTTTCCAACACGGATCTGGTGCTGAGCTTCAAACTCCCAATTATCAAATTGATACGCAAAGTAAAAGCGCGGCCGTCGCAGGAAGGCTCTGTTTGCTCATTATGCAGCAGAGATGATGAAACTGGGATGGAGAGCATGTTGTGTTGCTCTTTCCTCACTCTTGTCTTTGTGTTGGATTTGTTAACATCATCCGTCAGATTTCAGAAACTCTCCAAGACTTCATGCAAACTGCTGCTGCTGCCACTAACGTGCCTCTGTTGAGACATTCTCAGCTTCTTGTTGATGCTCTCAGGCAGTTATGTCACTACTTTTGTGGGACTGAAAGGTTTGCTAGATAGAACTGCAGCAGCCGACACTCCGTCCCTCCTGACCGTTGGATTGAGATAACCTGCATAATAACCAAACAAAGAAAAGCCGTCAGACATTTAGACAGACACGTTTTCTACAGTGTATAATTATTTGTTGGAGTAGTTCTGGTACTTCAGATTTGTAGTTTGTTTTTTTGTTTTTTTTTTTGCATGAGACATTGGAAGTTAGACAATTCAGCTCTGGTTTTAAAAGGGTTTTTAGAGGATTGGGGCCTCTGAAAAAAATGACTTTTTTCTTATAATCCTGACTTTAATCCCAGAATTTTACATTTTCTTCTGATAATTCTGTCTTTAACCTTGGGATTTTGACAATCCTTCTCATAATTATGACTTTAAACTCCAAATTGTGATGAAATAAAAAAATCTGAATGTTCTCATATCAAAAGTCAAAATTTACATTTTCTTCTTCATCCTCTTCCATCTGTTTTGGATTTGTTTCAGCTGAAATGATATTTGCTCTTTGTTATGATGTCAGTAATGTTTTTCCAACTGGAAGTGGTGGATGACCATCTTTAAAGCTCACATGATGCCTGAACTCTGACCCCAAACCCCAGAGGAGTCAAAAATAATGTTTCATTGAAGCAGAGAGAAGAAAGAAGTTCAAACCGTTTCTCCAATCCAAACTCTTCCTCTTCTTCCCTCCTTCCTCCAGAACAAATCATCCACATAAACAATCAAAGCATTTTAATCCTAACATTAGTTTATCGTGTATCATGGTGTGTGACTTAGACGTGTTTCATCTCCAGTGGGGTAAAATGTCATCTGTCCAGTGCAACTAACAAGAATTCACGTTTAAAAATGTGCAGTTTAGATTCTCCAGCTGGATTTGGAGTCGGACCTCAGTGAGAGGAAACCTGACCGACCAGAACTCCACCCTGCAGCCTGCAAGGAGAAATACTAACACGTTTTTGCTCAGACTTGTCGTTGCTTCCTCAGAGTCGCAGCAGTTTTCCTTGGGGAGCTGCAGGTTTCTGACGCTCTGCTGCTCCAACACACCAGGGAAACATCAAACGCTGGCAGGCCAGCAGGTTCCTAACGACCAGGACGGAGGATCTGCCTCTGCCGGGCTTTTTAAACTTTGTTTCCAGAGCCTGCAGCGAGTTTTCATTTTCATATGTGTTTCTCGTACATTAATCTCAGCCCGTTAGCTAACTTTACCTCCTGTTGTTTATTTTTTATGCATTACATCCTTGTGAATTTTCCCGAGCCCGTTTGCTCTGTCTGTCTGAAACACCTGGTGCTAATAAGCCCACCTGAACAGCAGTTATCACCGCAGCCATCAGTCTTTACACCTCCAGGTTCTTTCTTTCTTCTTAGATCCTCTCTCTGGCCGTTGTTGTCAGTTTTCGTCATGTTAAACTTTGGGTAAGCGACGCGTTTGCTTTACAGTCTTTCTGCATCTGCAGCACTTTCAGTGGATTTATCTCCATCTGTGCTCTTCACATAATATCAGTTTTACCATCTTCAACCTCAGTCTTTCTGAATAAGTGTAAATATTACAGAGTTGTAATTTCAGCTGTGCATGTCTGCGCGTGATGAAAAGTGAAATGAAACTGACCTGTATGTGAGGTCATCGGCTGCAGCCGCGACTCAAACAATCTCTCTAATTAATATTAATGATTTCAGGTCAGCAGCCATGTAACTATTACAGTTTGCACATTAGATCACGGTTTGCCCGTGTTCTCTTTTAAAACCTATTTGCATGCATAATGAAGAATATCAATAAAAGGTCATCTTTTATTAATACTGTCATTTATATTTATAAGCTGTGTGTTTTGTAGCAGGGCCTCTGCTGTCTGGAGGGTTCGCTTCGGATCAATACGTCTGAGTTGTGTTTGTTGGAGCCCAGCAGAACCACAGGACACGTCATGGTACCGAGTCAAAGCGACTTTCTGCTTTTCTGCAAGATTTCTGAAAAATGACAAGATTATTGTTCCTATGGAATGAAAATAAAACAACGCAGTTTAAGAAAACTGATGTCTTACATCTGCAGAAATATAAAATATTCATGTAGATTTATATCAATATGAAAGACTGAAGCTTTGGACACAATAAGTCATTTTTTATTCAAATGATCAAAAATCATTTGGATAAAATAATTTTTAACCAAAGCAGCAGAGCTGGATGTTAAATGCTTGTTTATATCATTCAGTGGTTACATTTTACTTAAAAAAATCATTTTATCAAAATTATATTTATAATGTTTAAAGTTTTGGTCTCTTAGTTACATTGATATTCATATAACTACTTGAAAACTGTTACATCAGCTGGTTTAAAGACAGGAATGTCATTTTTTTCACTCCTATAGGAACAATGATCTTGTCATTTTCTCAGTGAAATATCAGACATAAGTGCTTTTCTTGCTAAGTGCTGCATAACGCTGCAATCTTCTCCCTTCAAATCAGAAAAAAAAAACTTTTCTTTCATACTCAGAAGTGGTCATTATGTTGCTATCGTCTAAAATGAGGCTGCTGATTAGCCCTGGCTGCCAATAACGGCGGAGGCCGGACCCGGGAGAAGGAAAACAAAGAGCAGAAACGGTGCGATGCATGTTGACTGCAGGAGCAGAGCAGCGCAGAGACGAGAACGTTTGAATGTTTTCCAGTGAGTGGATGAAGTGTGGCATGCTTTCAGCTGAAAGCAGCAGCTTGCCACAGACCCTGGCTGCCACAAAATGTCTGCTGATGGGAACAAAGAGCTTTACAGAGTCTGTTGGGCTTCAGCGTTTCTCTCAGAAGTCCTGCAGCAGTGTGGTTTCTCATATTGTTTCAATATTTTTGGCAGATGTGGCCTTTGGTGGGTTAAGTTTAAGTTGATGTCATTTATAAAAGCAACTTTTTACAAGATGTCTTCAATATAGGGCGTAAAAATGTGTAGCTGTGACTTCAACCTGTTGAGGTTTTGCATTTTTACAGCTGGCTAATTTGTAAATACGATTTCAGAAAACCAGTTTAAAATGAGGAAAGGAAAATAAA